TCAAAGTGAGCACAGCTCTTGAGAAGTCGTATTTCCTGTCTCCGGATCGCTGTGCTCTTGTCGGTCAACTTTATAACTTCAACCCCTTCTGTATAACTCCTCCGTCCTGCCTGCCATGATCGCTGTACGTTTCTGGACAATAGGCTGGCTCTTATGTTGCTCTTCCCACGAGCTCTCCCGCTTTGTGGATCCGTTTTCCTGTGCTTTGTCCTCGGGGCCATCATTCCTTCTTTCTGGCACCGTTTATCCGGTGTATATTCAGATATGAGCCTTCAAAGCTCCCCCTATGCCGTTCTGCTCCAAATCGGACATCCTCCGCAAACAACAAACGGACGCTCGGGCAACAAGATGCCGAAAAGAGTGAGAGACAAAGATGAGAATAAATATTAGAAATTTGGACATTATAAAAGATAAAAGACAAAATAAAAATAAAGAACGAGACCAACAGCCACAAGCCGTGCCAACAGTCAGCACATGCCTTAACTCACCTCGTGCAACCAGACGACGATTATTTGCCAAGCCGCGTCCGAGAGCGAGTGGTCTTGATACACGCAATGTGCGTCCTGATTGACGAACATCGGCTTGGTTTATTCTTTTATCGCGCCCTCCGCTCTGCCAATGCCCTGTCCTCACTTCGTTATCACGCGAGCGCGGTCCGTCGGTGGTTGGACAGAACGGCTGATTGCCTGACTGTGTACTGCTTGTTGTAGCACCAAGGGACAAAGAGGGCGCACCGGCACTCGTGTATCTATTCCCCGACTTGGCCATTCTTCTCCTTTCGTCATGTCAAAGTTTTGTTCTTTATCTGTATGTCGTCTACATCCCGTTAAAGCCTCATTTTTCTGTACTATGTAGATTAGCCGCACCGTCCCTGCAGCAAGCATTAATACCTCGTAATGAGAATACTCTGCATCCTACCGATGCCCAGCCATCAACATTCCAGAACGAAAAGGGAACGTCAATGACTGTCCAGAGACAACATAGCCGCAACGGCAAGGAAGCCCCGATTGCACAATCTGCATCTGCAAGGCACGACGCTCCATCCATCCCCCCACACTTGTTCTTGGTTCCTTTGCTGACCGTCTGGATAAATTCAGGTCAACTGGGCGTCCTCACCAGGACCCGGGAACGGCAATCTAGAAATGTCCCCGTAGATGGAACGAATGAGGCTATGGCTGCTTTGAGGGGATAATCAATTCAAATGGCCAAGGTCGAAAGTGGACAGCATGGACACAAGCTGTTCTCCAGATAGGGTGGTGCGCATGGCCTTGGCCGTCTGTCTTCATGTCCTCCCTCATAAGTGACACATCTGCCATCCTGTCCTCCCCCTCTGTCCCACCGTCTTTTTGAATCTGATACGAGTTGCGCTTGCCGTACAACACCAGAGAGGACCATCATTGCTTCAGTTGTTTGGTTTCCTCGTCTTGCCACTCGTTTGTCAACACTCCACTCTTTCCGTTATTGATTTTGCTGTCCTCGATCCCTTCGCCTGGCACCATGCATATCCCCGCCATCTTGGCGGTGCCTCTTGTGGCCGGCGCCGTTTCGGCGGCCGTCGGCGGGCCCGGCAGCCAGATCATCGAGCAGGCCGCGCGTGCCGCTAACGCCGAGAACATTGTGCCCGGCAACTACATTGTCGAGTTTGAAGACGGGCACGACGGCAGCGAGTTTTACAACGCCATTGCCGCCAACGCCTCCAAGAAGATGGACCTCAACTTCAAGCTCTTCCGCGGCGCGTCCATCCAGTTCCACGCACCCGACGAGACGTCCACGGTCGACGCCACGGCGCAGCTGCAGGCACTGCCGGCCGTCAAGCGCATGTGGCCGGTGCGGCAGTACCGCATTCCGGAGCACACCCGCCACTGGGTGGCCAACCTGTCGAGCGACGACGACCATGCCCGGCGCGCCGCCGCCGACGACACGCTGTCGACGCACGTTATGACGCAAGTGACGCAGCTGCGCGCCAAGGGCATCACCGGCAAGGGCGTGCGCGTGGCCGTCGTCGACACGGGCGTCGACTACCTGCACCCGGCGCTGGGCGGCTGCTTCGGTCCCGGGTGTCTGGTGAGCTTCGGGTACGACCTGGTGGGCGACGCCTACACGGGCACCAACAAGCCCGTGCCCTCGGGCAACCCGCCCATGGACTGCAACGGCCACGGCACGCACGTGTCGGGCATCCTGGCCGCCCAGGGCGGCAGCAACTCGTTTGGCGTGACAGGCGCCGCGCCGGGGGTCGAGCTGGGCATGTTCCGCGTGTTTGGATGCGAGGGCAACGTCAACGACGACGTGCTGATTGCCGCCTTCAACCGCGCCTACGAGGCGGGCGCCGATGTCATCACGTCGTCGGTCGGCGGGTCCTCGGGCTGGTCCGACGAGGCGTGGGCGGTCGCGACGTCGCGCATCGTCGCCAACGGCGTGCCCTGCACGCTGTCGGCAGGCAACGACGGCAGCAGCGGCCAGTTCTATGCGTCGGCGGCCGCAGACGGTCTGGGCGTCGTGTCGGTGGCGTCCGTCGACAACGCCGTGTCCCCGACCTTGTTTTCCAAGGCAACGTTCGCCGTCAAGAGCGCCGCCTCGCCAGTGGCCAACACGTCCTTTGGCTACACCGCCGGCAGCCCCGCCAACTGGTCGTCCGTCACATTGCCGCTGTGGGCGGACACGTACAACACCAGCACCGAGACGGACCTCTGCGAGGCCCTGCCCGCCAAGAATAGCACCAACGACCTGTCCGGCTACATTGTGCTCGCCCGCCGCGGTACATGTCTCTTCACGATCAAGGCGCAGAACGCCGCGCGCCGTGGCGCCAAGTACGTCCTTTTGTACAACAACGAGCCCGGCACCCTGCAGGTGGACGTCAGCTCCGTGCCCGGCATTGTGGGCATGGCCATGGTCACGGCCGACCAGGGCGCCGCCTGGATTGCCGCCCTCGCCCGCAACGAGACGGTCCTAGTCGCCATGACGGACCCGCTCACCGCGCCAAAGGGCCTGAACAATGCGAACAACACGGTGTCGGGCGGGTTTGTGAGCAGCTTCAGCAGCTGGGGCCCGACCTTTGACCTCAACGTCAAGCCGCAGTTCGCGGCGCCCGGCGGCCAGATCCTGTCGACCTTCCCACGCAGCCAGGGCGCCTATGCCGTGCTGTCGGGCACCTCCATGGCCTGCCCGCTCGTGGCAGGCATCTATGCGCTGCTCATCGAGGCCCGCCCCGACCTGCGCAACAACCCGCAGGCACTCCAGTCGCTGCTGTCCTCCACCGCCCAGCCCAACCTGTACAACGACGGCACCTCGCGGCCCCGCCCGTCCCTGTTGGCCCCTGTCCCGCAACAGGGCGCCGGCCTCGTGCAGGTGTACGACGCCGCGTACGCCACCACGCTCCTCAGCGAGAGCAGCCTCTCCTTCAACGACACGGACCACCACGCCCCTCTGCGCAACTTTACCATTACCAACCACGGCCACACGTCCGTCGTGTACACGCTGTCCAACATCGGCGCCGCGACCTCGTACACCTTCCTGGCCGGCACCGACATCCAGCCCGCCCACTTCCCACTCACGCTGCAGGTCGCGGACAGTCCGGCCTCGCTGAGCTTTAGCACGTCCGACCAGGCCACGGCCAGCGGCGACGGCACGACTGTCACCATCCCTGCTGGCCAGCGCCGCGTCGTCACCGTGTCGGCCACGCCGCCGGCCGGCCTGGATCCCGCGCGCTTGCCCGTGTACTCGGGCTACATTGCCATCAACGGATCGGACGGGTCGGGTCTGTCGCTGCCTTACCTCGGTGTTGTCGGCAGCATGCGTTCGCTGACTGTCCTGGACGCCGTCCAGACGTACCTGGGAAAGGTGCCCGCCGCCAGCGGCAACAGCACCAACTCAACCGCCGTGCCCGGCCTGGGCGCCCGTCGCGTGCCCGCCAACACGCTCTTTGTCCTGCCGGTGCGCCTGACCCCCGGCCAGAAGAACCTGACCGACGCCCAGCAAGCGGCGCTGCAGCTGCTGGCCAACGCCAACCACACCGCGTCGCTCGTCCAGACCAACCTCAACTTTGTCATGGGCTCGCCGCTGATCCGCGCCGACTTGGTGCCGATCAAGCTGTGCTCGTCGCCGACGACGCCGGCGCCGGCCCTGCAGGACATTCTTGGGTACAAGACGCTGGGCTCCATCCAGAGCTTCCCGGTGCAGTGGATGTCGCGCGACCCCTTCAACGCCACCTGGGACGGCAGCATGACCGACGGCACCTATGCGCCTCCCGGGCTGTACAAGATTGTCTTCCACGCACTGCACATCTTTGGCGACCCGAAGCAACCCAGCGACTATGACATTGTCGAGACGGACCCCTTCCGGATAAAGTACCTGGAGGCGCCGTCGACCACATCGCCGGCCGGCAAGGCCGTGCCCAAGATGATGAGGCGGCAGACAGCGGAATGCCCGTAGAGGAAAGGGTTGGGGGTTTCCAATGTCCTGGATGACAGCGACGTTGGATCGACGATTATGCAGTAGACATCCTATTAGTATCGTCGAAAAGAGTAGCGAAACATGAAAGGAAAAGTACCATCCGAATGAAATACTTACCTTGTCTGATGAATGCGCTCTTGTCTGGAGTAATAAGCCACGGTATGTGTGCATGTTCACTTCATTAATGCTTCCTCTGCCGCACATAATAGTCGTTGAGTATTGAAGTTGTTGCCACCTTTTTCACTGTGCTTTTATTCCAATTTAAAAGAAGCGAACAGAAATCACCGCCGACGGATCCCGGTCCAACCAACCCAAGCCTCAAAAATCGTGGTATCTAGATTTGCGTGACAAGAAACAAAACAAAAATAACAAAATCAGAAACAAAAAGTCAAATGGTCAAATGCTTTCCCGCTCCCTGGGTGGAAGATTCCAACCCCGCCCAGTCCCCAACGCCATGCAAAAACAGAAAGGGAAATCAATGTCAAAATCGTTGAAACGTCAAAAAAAAACTTGTGCAGCACGTCATAACAGGTCGTGGACCACATGCTGACTCAACAGAAGAACTTGTACATCTTCTTCCACCGCGGCCAGTACAGCTTCTCCTCCTGCTCTTGTGCCACCAGCAGTGGCAGGTTGAACTCGCGTCGGCCCGTGTCAATGTCCATCTCCGACAGCCGCACGTACGACGTCCGGTACCAGAGCTTGTGCGCGAGCCACATGACCAGCACAATCGGCACGGCCAGGTACTCCAAGAAGAAGTTTTTCACATTGGCCGACGTGCTGGCCTGGCCGTAGTTGATGGGCCAGAGGCCGACCCAGAACTGCGCCAACAAGATGAGCACGTTCATCAAGAAGCCGAGCCAGGATCCGATCGTGCCCGACTGTGCGCGGAATGCCAGCTCCGTAAGCATGCGGCCGCGGCGCCGCCACGCCATGCGGAAACGGATGTGGGCGAAGCAGATGCTGCCCCACGTGAAGACGCTGCTGAGTGCCGAGATGGCCAGCAGCCAGTTGAGCACGTCGGCCTGCGTGTCCACGTCGGCAAGGTACGCGAGAAAGCCGAGACTCGACGCAACCAAAATGGCCATGAGCGGTCGTCCTCGGCGGTCGATATACGAGAGGATGCGAGGGGCCTGGCCCTGGTCGGCGAGGGCAGCGAGCGTGCGCGAGGAGCCGAAGACGGACGAGTTGCCGACAGACACCACGGCAACCAAAATAATCGAGTTCATGACCGAGGGCAGCACCTGGATGCCGGCGCTCTCGATGGCAATCACAAAGGGCGACGCCGTGGCGTCGGCAATGTTTTTGGAGCCGGGCAGCCGAGGGTTGTTATACGGTACGAGCAAGCCCACCAGCGTCAGGGCCACGACGTAAAACAGCGAGATGCGCCAAAACACCTGCTTGATGGCCGTTGGCAGGCTCTTGCGCGGGTTCTGCGTCTCGGCCGCTGCAAGACCAACAAGCTCGGTGCCGGCAAATGCAAACGCGGCCGTCACGAGCACCGAACAGAGGCCCTTGAAGCTGTTGTTGAAGGCACCCGGGTCGCGCCAGTACTTGCCGCCAATGTAGCCTTCGGTCGGCGTGCCGCCGATGTTGATGACAATGCCGAGGAGGATGAAGCCGACGATGGCCGTCACCTTGATAATGGCAAAGATAAACTCGGCCTCGCCGTAGCCCTTGACGCCAAACAAGTTGATGCTGATGATGATGAGGAGAAATATGGTGACAAAAATGGCCTTGTTCAGGTGTGGATTCCAGTACGTCACCGTCATCGACGCTGCTATAATCTCCAACGGTAAAACGACGAGCCACTGTAATGCGTAGCTGAGTGGGTTAGCAGGTAGGTAGTCGATGGTGTGTGATTCCAGAGGGGTACTTACTTCCAGCCCATGGCAAAGCCCCAGGAGGGGTCAAGGAAGCGCGTCGAAAAGGCCGAGAACGAGCCAGCCACAGGAAAGACAACGGCCAGCTCGCCGAGCGCGTGCACAGTGCAGTAGAGCATCATGCCGATGAACCCGTACGCCAAAAGTACGGATGCAGGACCGCCCTGCGACAACGCCTTACCCGATGCCACAAAGAGACCGGTTCCAATAGAACCGCCAATGGCAATCATCTGCAGGTGGCGGCCCTTGAGCTCGCGGGCCAGACCCGAGTGAGCCGTAGCGAGGTTGGCACTGTGTAGGTCGTAAAAATGGCTGTTGCGTCCGTTGCGCCCATTGTGCTCCCTGCGGCCACCACCTCTGCCGCTGCCGCTGCCGCCGCCGCCGCCTCCTTCGAGATCGTCGTTGTCAATATTGTCATTGTCGTCGTCGTCCTCGTCGCCACCGTCATGCTGTGGGCCGCCATATCGCATGTTATGCAGAGGGTACCCAGCTCTCCCCATCCGGTTACGACCGCTCCCGTCGCCCGCACTGCTACCATAACTGCTCCCGACCCGGGCATTAACGACGGAATCGGGTGTGAAATGCATGGTTGGGTCGCGGCGGAATGTGTCGACCCAGCGCGAGAAGGCGTTCCTGGGAGGGGCGTCGCCCGTGCCCAAGCCAAACGACGGCCGGCTCTCGGACCCGACAAAGGACGAGCCGCCGCCGCCACCACCACCGAGCCGGGATCCTCGTGTGCTCCGTTCCGGGTCGTCATAGTAGTATCCTGGATCGTTCGTCGTAATGTGGCCAATGCGCGCCACGCTATCCCCTCCTGCACTTGTCGAGTTTCGCATGGTGTGGACGTTGCCCGGTTGCAAGCCGTCCTCCTTTATTTTAAAAAACTTCAACTCCAGATCTGGGTCCAACGATGACAAGTACGGTTTCTTCCCCATTGGAGCGAGTTGGTCGATTCGGGACAGATCTCGTTCGCCGTGTCTGCTCGTCTGTTGCAAAAGAACGCCAATCGTCGTGGCGTCTCTCGAGTCCAAACGGCGGTCACACACACCGCTCGTAGGGCCGTGGGAAGGACCTGCGTTTCGTTCGAGTATAATCGACTCTCAAATCGTCGCTTCGATGCGGATTGTTCGTCTCGGTCGTTACTACCAATGTGTCTCACAAGTCGCTTGCAAAAGGCCAGATAAATGCAAATAAACAATCGGTTATGAGGTCACGAATGAAGCAGAGGGTAAGGTCGTTTGCCCAATTCGTGGAGGTCGTATATCAGGAAAGTCGTCGGTGTCCGAACGGGAGAGGACGCTGTGCAAGATAAGAGAAACAGGACGTCAATGCGCCCTCGATTCGAGCAGCACGGCGCGGCCGCGAAAGAAGGGAGGTCAACCTGAAGGCACAGCCCGCGGTGATCTGCGCTTTGTGCGTTCCTGGCAGGAAAGGCAACGGTTCTCAATTGCCAACTATGTCGGCCTTGCTGATCGAGCTGGCCGCTGACTACGTTGCGGTTTACGCTGTCGACAAGTCAGCCCGCGCAAACACCATATCCGAGAGTGGGGAAAAGACAAGTCGGGGCGAGGCGAAACGAGTCGGCGGTGTGCGTAATGTTCGACGAGTTCGGCAACTTGTGTTTTGCAGTTGCAAAACGATTGACGAGTGAAGAGGAAGAAGACGATAAGTCAAAACGAGAGGCGGGCGGGAAGTGGAAATAAAGAAAAGGATGCGGTGGTGTGGAGGTGGTGTGAGGTACTAGTGGCTATCGAAGTGAGAGGGGACTGGTCAATCTTGGGCGGCTTGCGGGCTGGTGCAGGTCAAGAGAAAGAACGACTGGCGAAAACGTGTGCGGGTCTCGTTCGCTCCTTCTTTCTTAGTGCTTGCTGGCCCTAGTTTAGTTTAGCATAATGTTATTTTACTTTGGCTTGAACGATCAATGGAAAGAGCGCCACGCTCCCCTCGATAGGAAAGAACGAAGGAAGGCGCAAATTGGGGCAGCGTGTTTGCATGCATGCAGAGGAAGGTGCAAGATAAGGAAAGGAACGAGATCGTAGGAAAGGTGAGCCTTGTCTTAGAATGCCAACCGACAAAGGGACCCAGAAAACTGAGACGACAGACAGAGTACGATAGCGTCACTTAAGCGGAGACTTGGCAGACCCCAGCCAGTGCTGTAAGCAGGCATCCAGGGTCAAGAAACAGCGCAACTAAAAGTCACTTTGGAAAATGGAACATTTGCCAATGTGACGACATGAAATCGAGGCGACAGGTAGAAAACAGTTGGAGAGGGGCTGGGGATATGAACCGGCACGTCTTTGTTTGAATTTGCTGTCGTTCTGTCCCCTGGATGGCTCGTTGATACGTTCTACAGCTTGCTCACTTCTCGACGGTTGTCTTCCTTTGCTCAGTCACCCTGTCTGTTTTCCCTCTTCTAGAGCCTTTCCTTTCTTATTACACCGTTACGCTGGCTGTGGATGCCATTCTTCCCTTATTCAAGTCATATGTGCTATCGCACGACAAGGGGGAGACGAAGCTATCAAAGCCAGCCGATGAATCTCCACGAGAAGGATCCTGTAAGGCACAGCAGATATCTGTTGCTTTCGACCCACTCGAGCTCAAGCTGGAGACAAGGAGACAATGACAAAAGACGACACGACGATAAGTGCTCGTCTTCTTTGCCTGGCTGTGCTCCATTCGTTTTTACCGCTCTCCTTGATTAATGCCTCCTCCTGCCATCCATCTCAGGAATCGATTGCGTGCAAGGAATAGCAGGATGGCTGTCGTTGGGCTTCTCCCGTTGACACATGAGAGTGACTCCGTCGTTGCGTCTTTTATTCTCGTTTATTCCCTCTGCCGTGTCTTGTTTACTGCCTGTTGCTACCAGTTGTTGGATCCCTGGTCCAAGCTCTTGCTGAACAAGGCAGGTGCTTCACATTTCATGGATACAATCTGATTGCGCCTTACCAATTCCGGTGTATGTCCAGCAGGGCATGGAAGCAGGCTGACTAGTTCACCAAGTACTACGAACGTACGACATAGAGGCCAAAGCACGTCCTGTCTTTTCCTCGTTTTATTCGCTTGAAGCTGTATCAAAGATGCCCACAACAATGCTGTCCAATGATATAAAATATATACACGACGAGAGAGAGACAGGGACAGAGAGACTACCATCTCAAAAAGCTTTTGCTTCTTTTCGGCCTTTTCTTTTTCTGAAACAAAATAAATCCAAACACAAAACGCCGTGTACCAACTGCTCAAAATGAGGAAGCGACAGGACGGATCACCGACACCTTGCAGAGTGACGGCGGCCATGGTCCCATCCCACCGGGCAACTACATATCCTATGAAACAGGCGGCGACACCTTGGCGGCGCCGGCCGGCTTCCGCTTCCAGCCGGTGTGGAAGAGCGGGCCCATGTCGAAGCGCGGGAAGGGGTGCGCCTCCGTGTTGATGACGACCTTGTCGAGCGGCAGCACGTCGTTGGGCGAGAACAAGAGGTAAAAGTACTTGAGCGTCTCCGCCAGCCAGAAGCTCTCCATGTTGTCGCGGCCGACGGGCGGGACGACGTTGGCATTGGTCAGGCTCGTGAACCCGCCGCCCTCGTCGACCGCCGTGTAGTTCATAAACGACTTGAACATCTCCCAGCCCCACTCGCGGTACAGGACGTCTCCCGTGATGCGCCACATGTAGAACAGGCTCTCGACCGTCTCGGGCCGCTGCAGGTTGTGGCGGTCGAGCGGCTTGACCTCAAAGTCGCGGCGCCATGGCGCGTCGGGGTCCGTGTCGAACGTCGCGGGCGGCATGCGGTGCGACGCCGAGAACGGCGGCGGGGGGTCGGCAATCGTAAAGTGGGTGATCTCGGCGGCGAGGCCCGTGGCCATGTACTTGTACATGCCCCAGCAGGTCTGCGTCAGCTCGTGCGCCAGCTTCATGTCGGCGTCGTGGCGCGCGGTCCACCACGCTTGCTTGCGTGCCGCCGCCAGCGGGAGACCCTCCGTGGCCGCCAGCGCAATGGTGCCGGGCAGGAAACAGACCAGGTGGTCCATCTTGGGCGACAGCGGGCGCAGCAGGCCGTCGGGCCGCTCGCCGACAATGGTGAACTGCATGTGCTCCGTGTACGTGATGAGATGCTTCCGGACCGCCGCCAGGGCGTCCTGCCACATGTCCTGGTAGACCGTCTCCTTCTTGTTGGTCTGCAGGTACTGCTTGATGAGGTATTCGTAGTAGGAGTCGCCGCGGCTGCCCAGACGGATGTTCTGGCCCATGAAGGAACCCGTCGCAGGGCTGATGAAAATCGGAACGAGACCCTCAAACGCACGGCTGCCCTCGTCCACCACCTCCATCACATGCTCGACCTTGTCCCAGAAGAGCTTCTCGCCGGTCAGCTTGGCCAGGTACTTGAACTCCAGCTGCAGCGTCGTGGCCTCGGCGGTGGATGCCGATCCGGAGTTGTCGTGCGCCGGCAGCGGCTCGGACTTTCCAATGTTGACGCTCGACCACGGCAGACCCGTGGGGCTATCAAACGCCGACACCAGCCGGTCGGCCAGGTCCTTGGCCTTCTCGAGGTAGAGGTCCTCGCCGCCCGTGCTGGCGAGCTGCGTCTCGCTCAGGGGCGCCATGTCCGGGTACTCGTTGGACAAGTAGTGGGCGGACAGGAGGCCGCCCATCATGCGGATGGTCGTCTCAAAGGTGTTGACGTCCTGGTCCTGGTCCCACGTCAGGGACTTGGACACCCACTCGCGGGCGTGTGCGAGCCGTCCCGTCAGGTTCATCAGCATCATGGTGTCCAGCGAGTCGATAATGATCCAGCCCATGCCCTGAGGGGCCATGAACCGACCGCGCTTGGATTCGGGATAGAACTCGTCCTGGCCTGCAGTGCGGTTAGTCAACGTCTCTTTGGCAGAAGCCTAGACGAAAGCGCCTCCTCGTGGTGCAACGTACCCCATGCATACCGCTCGTAGGCGTCCCAACTCAGCTCAAAGGCCTCGACCACGCGCTCGCGCCGGCCCAGCCAGTCCACGCGCCCGCGCGCCTTCTCGTCCTTGGTCGACCATGTCCACCCGCGCAGCGGCACACGCTCCCTGTGCTCCTCGAACCAGCCGCGGTAGTACAGAATCGACACCAGCACAAGGACGAGCAGGATCCAAAAGCGTCGGCGCCGGAGCAGCGGCCGGCGGCGCTGCGACACCGGGTAGCCGTACGGCTTGTCCTTGTACATGGGCAGCGCCTGGCGGTTCCGGCCGCCCGTAGCGGCGTCCAGCAGGTTGCCGGCAGTTCCTATGATTCCCTTGTTCCCTGCGTTATTCGCACCAGCGCCCGGTCGCCGCGTCGCGGCGGCCCAGAAGTGGTCCTCTGCTAGCCGTTGGGGGTCGTTGAACGTGGGCACGTTGCGCGGCACGGAAAACGCCATGTCGTCGTTCGTGGCAGTCGTAGCAGCAGACGCTGCAGTAGCGGCAGCGTTGGCGGCAGCGTTGGCGGCAGTTTCGAGCGCGTTCTCGACGGCACTCTCCACGACCTGCCGAACCTCTTTTCCTTTCTCGAGCGCCTGGGCGCCCGCCTCGATGGCTCGCTCGCGGAAGTCAAGAGCAGCCTGGGTCGCAGTCGCGCGCAGGATGCCAATGGCTGGGTTTCGGTGCAAGCCAAAGGGGTCGCGAACGTTCATTGGCGTGGCTGCGCGAACATGGAGCCGGTCGGCGGCGCGAGGAAGCAAAGGGAAGGACGATTGAGGTTGTCGATGAGGTTAACAGGGAAACGAGTCGAGAGGCTCAGAGAACGTCCAAGTCGAGGGATGTTGATGCGAGGCGTGGCCAGAGTCGGAATCAAAAGGTGCACGCCGGAAGGCAATGAATCGTATGACAGGCTCAGAAGAGATCAAAAAGACAAAGGAGATGAACAACGCCCCCTTGTTCCTCTACCAAAAACACACAAAAAAAATACTCGAACGACTTGGCGA